CCTGTCCTCTCTGGACAGTCACGTCTGTCTGTGTCCAGTTTCTATGGTCACTGAGCCTGTCAGGTCTGTTGCTCTTTGCTGTCTCTCACCCTGGTCAGATACTCACCAGTCTCCTCCTCCGCCTCTCTGCGATCTGGAGCAGCGCAGTTCTGCAGGGTCCCCTGGCTGGACGGTCAAACTCTCCCAGTGCAGGCTGGCAGGCCTGTCATCTCTGCATAAAACCAGCACCTCTCAATGAGGAGGGGGTTTCTGGGGAGCCCTGGGGGGGGGGGTCTCCTGCACAAACACACACACACAGGAGGGGGAGACACAACAAACACCACTTGTCACCCCATGATCTGAAACCCCGGTCACTGCCCACCCACAAGTACCCAGAGAATCCCTCTGCTGCTGGGGACCAGGATGAGTGAACATCCCGGAAAACTGTCCCGAATCCCACCTCAGGCCTGGAAAGATCCGGCTCCTCCTCAACCCTGCTGTGTGACCTCAACCCTGCTGTGTGAGTCCAGAAGGTCACAGGAAGAGCCAGGAATGAAGAATACCTGAACAAACTGTCCATGTGATTTCCAGATTTCTGGGACGAGCTGGCTGCAGTCCTGTCCTGTCGGAGTCCACAGGCCCATGGAGACAGCAGGGCATGACCTCTGAACTCTCCCCAGGCGGTCCCAGTTCAGGGGAACACCGCACAGGAGGCGTCCCCGGATCGAATCCCTGGTGGACGCCCAGATTCCCGAGGGGAGGAGAATCCCCAGTTTTCCAGCCAGGCCAGACTCCAGGGTTTTCCGAAAGGGAATCCCAGCAGACCCTCCAGTCCGACTCCAGTCCCTGCTCTCCCTTTCCTGAGCAGATCTGTGCTGCAGAGCCCACTCTCTCTCGGGCTTATATACAAGATTGAGGGAAAAACACAACAAACAAGAAAAAATCCTATTTGACCATAAAATATTTGAGATGTCAACATCGAATAAACAATTTTCCCAGCCCTGGCCTTGGTGTGGATGAGGAGAGCTGTGCGGAATGGGACACAGAGGCCAGCTGGATGCTGGCAGTGTCAGTGGTACCAACTGTTTATCAGTTTCAACAGCTAACACTGGGTGTTTCTTCACTAAATACAGGAGCCTGGGCACAGGCAGAGCCAAGGAGACAGAAAAGCAGAGCCACAGAGTGATATAAGGAGAGTGCAGGCAAGATGTTGAGAAAAGGCGTCTGCTTTTTTTTTAAAAAAAAAATCAAACCTTTTTCAGTGGAATTCGGAAGAACGGCGCCCTCTCGTGGACGGACATGGCCGGTGGTCGCAAACAGGCGGTGCTTGCTCGCAGGTGGGACGCCACTGCCACCCAGTGGTAGAAAAGTAGAACTGCACCACCTGCTGCCGAGTGACCAGGAATGCTCACGGGAGGATCCCGCAGTGCAGCTCATTTTTCAGAAGCCCTTAGTGTACATTGAGACCCCACGTCTCCTCTCTTCATTTGCCGTTAGCGGTTTCCACCGGTCCAGCTGTCCTGTGCCAGTTTCTCAAGCCAGAACAGTCCTGCTCACGCAGTGACCCCAGTGTCCAGCTCTCTGCAGGCTACGGTATGGGACTGTGGAGTAGACCAGCAGACTGCACCAGGGGTCAGTGCTCGAGCCTGTGGTCCAGAGGGTCCCAGGCTCGAACCCCAGGCTGAAGCATCTTGTACCATTGGGCAAGTTGCTTCTCCGAGGCTGCATTAAAGAGCCTGCTAAACTAATGCGTCGTGTTGTCAATTTTACAGAAACATGTTACTCAACTGCATGTAGCTGGTTAAACTGGGCATCAACCGAGGTTTTACCGAATTTACCTGCCTTAATGGATGGTGGGAGTGTGGAACAAGACGTTGAAGCTGATAGCCTGGCTCCCCTCACCAATCAGCTGGATGAGATCCTCCAGTCAGAACAGTTGGCTCTTCCTTACACAGAGAGTGGTGGGAGTGTGGAACAAGATGTTGAAGGTGATAGCCCGGCTTCCTTCACCAATCAGCTGGATGAGATCCTCCAGTCAGAACAGTTGGCTCTTCTTTACACAGAGAGTGGTGGGAGTGTGGAACAAGATGCCCAACCATGTTATTAAGGCAAATACCCTGAAGAGATTCTAAGAAACAGCTGGATGAGACCCTTAGAATGATCATGAATAAAACTGGATTTCTGACTAATAATGGGTTAGAAGAGGAAAGGGACAAAACACGAGTGTTTTTTCTTAAAAACAAGTGCAATTTGACATTCAAGATCCTTGTGTGCTAGTGGAAAAAGCATAAATGTTGCAAGAGTAGTTCAGGTAGGTAGCAGCGTCAGCATGCGTAGGCTGCATTTTCCCCTGCAACAGGGCTCGCTGTATCACCTGCAAGTTCATAAATAACACCACACTCATTTTCACATTTTGTTTTTCAGAAGCTCACTGGGGCCTGGGCACTGGGCACTGCACAGTAGTTGTATCCCGAAACTGAGTCGTTCAGGTTAAACATTGTCACCAAGCAAACTGAAGAGCTTTGATCAACGGTCTTGATTGTTTCCCACTCTTACCTTTAGGTTTGGGGAACAAGTCAAAATCCATAGATCGCAGAAATGCTCAGTTGACACCCGAGGTAGGGTCAGGGTTAGCATTCACAAACTACTTAGACAATATTTAAGCTCAGTGCTGGATTTTTTTCCCAGAACTTTCTTGGGCCCGGGTGGTGCAGTTCCACCTCAGGACCATTCCTGATCACTCGGATGACATCTTGTACCTCCAGCAACCTCATTGACTGTATCTCCTGCAGTAAATGCCCAGCCGTCCACACTGGGGAAACAGGAAGGAGACTCGGAGACCGCTTCAGAGGACGTGTTAGGGCCACGAAGACTAAAGATCTCTCCAAGCCCATAGTTTCTCATTTCACCTCAGACGGCCATGATCACACTGATCTCTCCATCTCCGTTCTCAAAGTAGGGTTTAACTCCCATAGCAGAAAGACATCAGAAACGAAAATGATCCTGAAACCTGGCTCACACTTCCCCCTTCTCTCAACGACAGATTGTTTTCTTCCAATCCTCTCTGTTCATCTGTAGGTTTAGTTTCACCCCTCTCCTCACCCCTCTCGGCCTCACACCACCTGACTGGCCACTCTGCCTCCCCCTGCTCCCGCCTCCTCTCTCCTGGCTTGTGTTTTCCCCAGATCTATTATAATAATAATAATAATAATAATAATTGTTTACACTTATATAGCGCTTTTCTGGACACTCCACTCAAAGCGCTTTACAGGTAATGGGGTCTCCCCTCCACCACCACCAGTGTGCAGCCCCACCTGGATGATGCGACGGCAGCCATAGTGCACCAGAACGCTCCCCACACACCAGCTCTCAGTGGGGAGGAGAACAAAGTGACGAAGTTCAGTCCAGTTCAGAGATGGGGATTATTAGGCCATGATTGGTAAGGGCCAATGGGAAATTTGGCCAGGACACTGGGGTTACACCCCTACTCTTTTCGAGAAGTACCCTGGGATTTTTAATATCCATAGTCAGGACCTCGGTTTTACGTCTCATCCGAAGGAAGACGCCTGTTTACAGTAGTGTCCCCGTCACTATACTGGGGCATTAGGACCCACACAGACTGCAGGCTGAGCGCCCCCTGCTGGCCCCACTAACACCTCTTCCAGCAGCAACCTTAGTTTTCGCCAGGTCTCCCATCCAGGTACTGACCAGGCTCACACCTGCTGAGCTTCAGTGGGCTGCCAGTTGTGAGTTGCAGGGTGATATGGCTGCTGGCGATATCACCCTGTAACTATGTGGGAATCACATAGATATGTGATAAATATCTATGTGGCAACCCACATAGATATTATCTTTGCTGACTGCCCTGTCTGTCTCACACACAAAGAAGGCTCCACAGCCGAAACGTCGTGTTTTCTTTCTTCTCTTTTCAGCATGGAATAAATCTATTACTTGTTCCAATGTTGCAAGAGACCTTACTTTTAACTTTATACCCTAACATTGGTTACGGCTTCAGCAGCAGAGTCAATATAAACACCAAGTCTTCAACAACAGTACAAAGACTAAACACTGGATCTTTATTGTGCAGGAAGGAATTTTAAAAAAGTAAGGAAACGGTTAAATGCTGTCCAACACTTGCTCATGAACACACATACAGGGGGGCAGAGCCGCAGCTCCTCATAGCGGCCAGCAGGGGGCAGAAGGGTGCTGAAGTTCCTATTGCTCTGAGTGTCCAGTTACAGAACTTGAATCCCGAAGGAGCTTCATGCCTGGATTCCAGCCCGGGAATGGAGCCCTGCACCCGGCTGCACCAAGACAGGCACAGACAGGCGTCCCGCCCGGAATGGAGAAGGAAAAGGGGACAGAAAGAGGTGGGAGATGTTGCTGCTGTTCACCACCAGCCAGCCACACGCAGGGGACAGGAATTTTATAAGACTGGTGATAACGCGAACGGACTGGCTTTCCGCACTCCTCAAGAGCGTCCTTGTCAGGCCCCGTGAAAAGCACACAGGGCAGCGCTGCGGTGTTGGGGTCTGCTCCTTCGCGTGCTTGGTGTTGTGCCACAGCTGTGCTCTCTGTGTACAAGCCACTGTTCTCACAGAGAGAACCCGGACCGAATCGCAACAGCTAGGGGAAGGGTGGGGGGGGCAGGGCGTGTCCCGGGCAGGCTACTGAGGGGTGTGGCGCGGTCAGAGAGGCGCAGGAAGAGAGGTCACCTCCTCCAGGCACTCATCATAGGCCTCCTGGTAGTCCTCGTGGGGCTTGATCATTATCACACAGGTCGGGCGCTTGGAGCCAGCTGAGGTGCCCAGATCCTGCAGAGAGAGAAACGCAGGCTTGAATACCCACAAGTGTACTGGACTCCACAGGGACTGGAAGAGTCTAGAGCCCTGTGACTGGGCCGTGTCAGTGTACTGGACTCCACAGGGACT